GTGTGTGTTCACGGTGTGTGTGTGTGTGTTCACGGTGTGTGTGTGCACTTTGGATGGGATAAATGCAGAGCACTAATTCCGAGTATGGGTCACCATACTTGGCCATATGTCACATCACTTCACCTTTTTTCACTTCACTTTTGTTATTTTCTCATGGTATCTGCTAGAGCGTTTAGACACGTGACTTCAGACTTAACAAGCAAATAGAGAATGTGAAGCTAAGTCAAGCCGCGTTGCATGCTGGGGTGCCGCCAAACTGGGAGGATCACCGGCTGCTACAAATGCTGAAATTAAAGGGATAGTTCACCCAAAAATGAAAATTCTGTCATTAATTACTAACCTCATGTTGTTCCAAACCCATAAGACCTTTGTTCATCTTCGAAGCACAAATTAAGATATTTTTTATTAAGGTTTGTGTGTGTTCACGGTGTGTGTGTGCACTTTGGATGGATAAATGCAGAGCACTAATTCCGAGTAGGGGTCACCATACTTGGCCATATGTCACATCACTTCACCTTTTTTCACTTCACTTTTGTTGTTTTCTCGTGGTATCTGCTAGAGCGTTTAGACACGGAAGCGGTGACACGTGACTTCAGACTTAACAAGCAAATAGAGAATGTGAAGCTAAGTCAAGCCGCGTTGCATGCTGGGGTGCCGCCAAACTGGGAGGATCACCGGCTGCTACAAATGCTGAAATTAAAGGGATAGTTCACCCAAAAATGAAAATTCTGTCATTAATTACTAACCTCATGTTGTTCCAAACCCATAAGACCTTTGTTCATCTTCGAAGCACAAATTAAGATATTTTTTATTAAATCCGAGAGCTCTCTGACCCTCCATAGACAGCAACACAACTGCAATGTTCCCAGGTCCAGAAACGTAGCGTGGACATGGGTAAAATAGATCATTTGACATCAGGGGTTCAACCGTAATTTTATGAAGCTATGAGAATACTTTTTGTGTGCAAAGAATACAAAAATAATGACATTATTCAACAATTCTTCTCCTCATCCCGTCTGCAGCGGTGCACTGCCTGTTACACATAGAAAAGCCAAAAAAACATATTGCATTAGTTATCTCTCAGAACAATGATCTGAGTAAAGGTCTTTGCACACTGAGTCCGAATTTTTAAATTTTTTTCGTAGTCATCATCCTTTCCTATCAAAATGCTTGCTATGGATACGAAAATGTAGAAAATTTAACCTGATCTGAATTTTTTTTATGATGGACAAAAGTTTCGGAGGCGGTGTGTAAACGTGATTGACACAACATGAGGTCGTATTTATTTAGACACGTGACTTCAGACTTAACAAGCAAATAGAGAATGTGAAGCTAAGTCAAGCCGCGTTGCATGCTGGGGTGCCGCCAAACTGGGAGGATCACCGGCTGCTACAAATGCTGAAATTAAAGGGATAGTTCACCCAAAAATGAAAATTCTGTCATTAATTACTAACCTCATGTCGTTCCAAACCCGTAAGACCTTTGTTCATCTTCGAAGCACAAATTAAGATATTTTTTATTAAATCCGAGAGCTCTCTGACCCTCCATAGACAGCAACACAACTGCAATGTTCCCAGGTCCAGAAACGTAGCGTGGACATGGGTAAAATAGACCATTTGACATCAGGGGTTCAACCGTAATTTTATGAAGCTATGAGAATACTTTTTGTGTGCAAAGAATACAAAAATAATGACATTATTCAACAATTCTTCTCCTCATCCCGTCTGCAGCGGTGCACTGCCTGTTACACATAGAAAAGCCAAAAAAACATATTGCATTAGTTATCTCTCAGAACAATGATCTGAGTAAAGGTCTTTGCACACTGAGTCCGAATTTTTAAATTTTTTTCGTAGTCATCATCCTTTCCTATCAAAATGCTTGCTATGGATACGAAAATGTAGAAAATTTAACCTGATCTGAATTTTTTTTATGATGGACAAAAGTTTCGGAGGCGGTGTGTAAACGTGATTGACACAACATGAGGTCGTATTTATTTTTTAACGTACGAAAACTTCGGACGAGAATTTCGGACTCAGTGTGCAATAAAATGGTGACTTTTTTCACAATCATGACAGAAAATTAAAATACTGCCCTAAACTCAATAGCAGAACAGCAGCGCGATCCTCTCAATATGACGGAAGGCGGATAAACAAAGCAGTTTCCCAGAACTCAACTTGGCGTGACGTCAGCTTTACATTCTCTTATAGGGATGGTACAAATCCATTTACAAACTTAAAAAAACCCCAGAACAATGATCTGAGTAAAGGTCTTTGCACACTGAGTCCGAATTTTTTATTTTTTTTCGTAGTCATCATCCTTTCCTATCAAAATGATTGCTATGGATACGAAAACGTAGAAAATTTAACCTGATCTGAATTTTTTTTATGATGGACAAAAGTTTCGGAGGCGGTGTGTAAACGTGATTGACACAACATGAGGTGGTATTTATTTTTTAACGTACGAAAACTTCGGACGAGAATTTCGGACTCAGTGTGCAATAAAATGGTGACTTTTTTCACAATCATGGCAGAAAATTAAAATACTGCCCTAAACTCAATAGCAGAACAGCAGCGCGATCCTCTCAATATGACGGAAGGCGGATAAACAAAGCAGTTTCCCAGAACTCAACTTGGCGTGACATCAGCTTCACATTCTCTTATAGGGATGGTACAAATCCATTTACAAACTTAAAAAAAAAAACATCAAAATTAACTTAAAATGTAATTTTGTAATTCCTGTATACAGTAGTCTATATACAGTGTGATTTCTGGTGAATTGTATTAAAACCAGTTAGTCAGTTTGACCCACAAACATCATAAAAATGGTTAATAATTTGAATATGTGGGGAATGTGCAACAATTAAAAAAACAACAACTTAGATTTAATGATTGAGATTTAATGATAGCCACTAAACTAGGAGATATGCCATTTGTTTTCATTTGAAACCTGGTCACCTTACATTAAAATGCAACAATTTTGTCCATTAAAAATTAGTAATATTTTCATTATCACAACAGGCATTACAGCTGAAGACTTCTTCTCCAGCAGATCATTGGGGGCTTCTCAATATTCCTTCTCGTTTCCTCGCTCCTCCGTCCTCCATCCTATGACCCAGAAACCGATCCAGCTCAGCCATCTTGTATAGGACATCTCAATTCTCTAATTGCACAGCGAGGAGGCGAGGATCGAGGAGTGGGGAGGCTTCCTGAGAAGTCTTTTTCGGTGAAAAAACTGATGCACATATAAATTATCCTCCCCCTTC